TCTCCCAGGGGTCCGCGACACCTACGCGGTATCACCGGTGATCGGTTGACCCGATAAATCAAGCATCCAGAAATTTATTATTGCGCGAATTCCAGGGAGCGGGAACCGGTGTACAGGAACGGGCGAAAGGTCGTTCCCCGCTCGGCCAATAAATTTAATTAACGGATAGGCGAAAGCGTCAGGAGCGCGGACCGGCGCGGCGGTTAGATCGCTTTTCCACCGCGGAAAAATCTCCGGCCGCTTTCGGTCCCGTGCTCCATAAATATCGATGCGGCCGTTCTGGTCCAGCTGAGACGCTTGCGCAATGTTTCGCGCGCCCGCGGAATGTTCAATCAACCGTGCAGATGGATCCCGAGGGTGAAACGACGCCTCGAGGTAGTTAAGAAGGAACGCTGCGCCGACCGACGGAAAAGTCACTTCTGTCGCTTTACTTTCGCGACATAACACTTTCGACTTTCCACGAAGATATTTTTCAACGATACTTTTCTTTTTAAATCACTGCATTTATACTGTACGATGTGCGATAGTATTTCTTGAAATTATCAGAAGACTAACACGTCGGACGATGATGTTAAAGGGAACGTATTTGAGAAGGTACGAAGAATTATTGGTGTAATCACTGATGATGAGTATTTCGTTATGGAACATTTGTTAATTTTGTGATATTTTTGTGAAGTTTTGGTAAATGTGATTATTTCAGAAATTATAGGTTCACGCTAGGTAGAAGGTAGAACAGGATATTCAATATGAGATCGTTCCTCTGTCATTTTTAAAAATGACTGCTTCCCGAAAAGTCCACCTTAATATAGAGAGCATACATATGTCGAAGAACCCAAGACTTTATGAAAACATAAGGAACCGAAATATCGATTTTTTTATATCGGCAGGCTGTTGCGTTCCCTTAACAGGAAAGGGACGAAACGGCAGCACGTGGTCACCCGTTCGAACACGACACCGGTTTGTCGAAACAGCGGGATCTACTAGGACGCTCGGCTCCCGAACAAATGGATTTAGGAAGATTCCGCTAACGAATCCGCTGATTTATCGTGGCTTGGGCTAGGGCCTCCCGGTTTTCTCGGTATCGTTTCAGTTTCCACTGCACGGCCGATCGGCGAAGAATTATTGCGTTTCGGTCGAAGGGTACGGAAATACGAGCGTGGTTTGTTCTGTAACAGGAATCAGTGTATGGTAAATAATTATGGCGGCAGATGGGGAAATAGGAATATCGAGGACGGTGCTGGGGGTAATGGGCGATATGCTTGTTGCTAAAGTGAAATGAGCTATTTAATTTAGGGGTAGTTTTCTGGGGGATGTTTGTGGATAAATTGACGTATAGTTCAAAATTAGATTACACGTAATTATGTAAATTCCTACTAAAAGATAGAAGCGACATTTAATCGAAGAAACGAACAAAAATCAATCTAAGCGATTTCCAATAATTTTATTACATCCGCGTGTTAGTCTCCGAACAGTCCATTATAAATGTTTAAATTAATTCTTCTAATGAACAATTCCTCCGTTATAAAATACACGTTACAGCTGTTCGAAGTACATGTCCGAACGTATTGTACGATAACAAAATGATTTACAGTACAATAAAATTAAAAGCACAGTTTACCAGTTAATGTAAATCATATATAAAATTAATGAACGTAAATTATGAACCATATAAAATTATTACGAGACTCGCGGAACCTGCATGACAATTAAAAGCACGATGCGGCCCACGCGAATGTCTGAATTCAATTTCAATCTCCCTTAAATTACACGCTTTGCCTGATTCACAGCGTTCCGTAAGGTCACGGGGTCACGTGTCGCGCAAACCAAGGAGCACGATTTTATTTTCCTCCCTCCAACGGGCCTTTCATCTTTTCTATTGCTTTCTCTCCCCTCTTTAAGGCGCACGCGTATGTACGCGTGAATACGATCTACGCATTGGATTTCACGTGAATCGTTCGCTCGCTCGCTCGCTCGCGCGCGCGCGCGCGCCCCTCCACGAATTACCGGTTGGATTTATCGCCCGAGAAAAAGACTTGGCCGGCATTCTCGTAATCCTTTGCCGGTGGACCAAGATGCCGGCCCTTTTGATGCGTGGGCGTGGGCCACGCAAATCGAATCGCTCGCCGTCTCATCACGTTCCGTCGAAATCACAACCATTCCGAGTAATCGAGTCTGATTATTATTTATGCTTTTGTGATCCGGGATCCTTTCGCTTCCGTTCCTGTGACCAATGATCCCTGCCGCTCGCGGATTCGTATAAGATACGACAGCTAAATTGCGATCGAGCGTATTTCTCATTTTCGGTGGTATATCATTTCATCGCCCTGCGCTCCCTTCCTTTGAGCTTTTGCGACCCAATCACGCTTGGAAATGTCGTTTCGAGAATGAATAGAACTTCGAGAAGATTTCTCAAATGTTCCTATCGTGATTTAATAAATATGTTATCTTTTGTTTTCAAATCAAAGAAACAGAATATTTTACTATCGTTATCTTCGAAACTCTTTGACAATAAAATCTGATATAATATGAATTATAATTCTCTTGAATCAAGAGAAGAATCGTGAGTCAAGCGGTTGAAATATTATCGCAAATACACCAAAACTCCTAAAAAATCTAATTCAATACAATTAAAAATACAATTACATTTATACACCGACAATAATCATACACACTATTTCTTCCTCGGCAAACATTAAATCCCTCTCCGCCCGAACTCATTAGAGCCCCAATTTCCACTCCCGAAGCAGAAATAATCGAATGAAATTCAAACTATCTCCTCGAACGGAGGGCGTACCGGGGTCTCAATCGATGCGAGCCGTTGCACGTGGCGGCGCGCGTTGCGCCGCGCCGCGCCACCTACGAATTTACGAACATCCTGGACTACTACTATCTTTTCTTCCGCGGCGTGTACCGCATATCCACGGTCGCAGACACAAATACGAACATTTCGCTGTCGACACGCCACGGGCATGTTTTCTCAGCTGGTGCCCTAACTCTCGATCTCGACGATCCTCCTTCCCCTCCCCGCCGGCCTGCCCGTGCCCGGGCTCTCGCCTGTTCCACGGTACACGGCAGATCCTGGTGGATCCTTTCAAGACACGGTCGGCTACCCACAAAGGATCTGCCCTTTCATACGCACGTTATTATACTCTTTACAGAATATCGTTCCACCTTCTCCCTTTTGGAACCGGAGGAAGGAAGGGAAAAAAAAGGAAAGAAAGGAGAAGGGAGGAGAGGAGCGGGACTCGCGCGTGTGTTGGTGTTACACGGCGCTATACGTGTGCACGCCCACGCATTGTGGCCCGAGCCTCCGGGCAGGGTGGACGTCCCGACGAAAGCTTCGAGATTTTCTCGTTTAATTTGTTGTTATAGCTGCTTGAGACCGCGGATCGGGCCATTCGTTCAGCCGTGCCCGATCCTCAAACATTCATTATGTTTTTTCGTAACACGTCCGAAACACCCCCTCGCCGAGCTGCACCGCGGCGCGTCGGTGCTGCGGCTTTTCCGCGGCTACGTGTTTGCTCTGCACTCGCGGGCACAATCCGTGTCTATTTGCCGACTGTATCCAGCTAACCGTCTCTATTAATCGAGGGAATGCCGGGGCGGAGGTTCGCACCACCGGGACCCGGGGACACGGCACAATCGGGGACGCCTGGGATAATTAACAATGTGACAATGCTGTATTGTTGAATTGTTTTTCGTAATAGTCTATTAACGCTTTGACCGGCGGGCCGTGGTTAATGGGGATTGGTGCTCGCGTTTGCGGCGCGGAGTTAATTGGAATATCGCGCACGGGGGATTAATTGGAACTTGATTGTTTGACTTCCCGGGTTTTCTGATTTGCGCTCGGAGAGATTGGGAATCTACCGATCGATTGAATATTAAAAGGGGTTGGTTTGGTGTGTATACTTTTGCATGGATTATTGTAGATTCTGGGATTTCTTTAAATACTTGTTTTTATAATGAAGCTTCTTATGAAATAGAAGTTGAAGAGAATTAGAACTTGATTGTTTGACTTCTAGGGTTTCCTGACTTGCGCTCGGAGAGATTGGGTATCAACTGATCGATTAAATATTAAAAGGGGTTGGTTTGCTGTGTATCCTTTTGCGTGAATTATTGTAGATTCTGAGATTTGTTTAAATAATTGTTGTTGGAATGAAGCTTTTTATGAAATAGAAGTTGAAGAGACTATAGTAGTTACGTATGTATAAGTACGAATATAAAAGGCTGCAGTATAGGGGGTTAAAAGTTTATTATTAAGTTCCATTTTCTCATTTCATTTTAATCCAATTTGTAATACAGCTTGCGAGACACCAAATTTCATGATACACTCGGAGAAGTATAGGATATCGTGAGATTTAACAATTTCGAAGGACACGTCCATACACGAGTGCACTCGTGTCAGTCAAGTGTTCAGGGTTTACTATTTTTTTCTATACTAGTACTCTCAGGAGAGCACTCAATGCTGAAGCAGCATGGGAAAAGGTCTGTTACGGTGAAATGCACTTGCCGGGCAGATAATTTGCACTCAGAAAGTTCAATTGAGCAGTTGATCGAGTCCTTTGCGACGATTGCGTCACGGATTGCATCGGATGCGATTAGGGGATGGTATTATCGCGGTCCATTAGCGATTGTTTGGGGGAAAGACGCGAGTCAGTATGCGTCGTTCGATCAGTCGTAAGGAATGCAGTTCAGGTTCGACTTGGAAAAGTTAGTGGAGCGTGGTCCAGGGCCTAGGCGGATCTCTTCTGTCTGATTTGGCACATTTTCCTCCCCTGCCGCTCCCTTGGCTTCTCGATCAGCGTTCCTCTTGAATTATTCTTCAAGGCTTCGTGTGTACACTTCAAAGAAGTACACACAGAGGCGAGATTGTGAAGTCACTCGATCGGTTGCTTTTAGAATATTGGATGTGTTAGAGTCAATTTGCGTTCGATTAATATTTAAACACGTTTCATTAGTCGTGAACTGCGAGTGAGATTGAAGGGAGTTAGCAAGGATTGTCAAAAACGCCCAAGACGATCGGTAAACGTTCTCAGAAACACGTTGCGAGCTTCTCTAGATGGAAAGACTGGACCCATGCATTCTAATAAAAGTGGATTTCTTTCTTTCACAGCTGTTTTGAAATCTTCCTCGGAAATTGAGCCATCACGGTCTACGTCGAGCTTCTTGAGTAAAAGATCTATCAGATCCTATAAGTTAAAAGACTTTGTTAAAGATATTAGATATATTTGTTAAACAATTAGTGACAAATTTTCCGTTTGTCTTCAATTTAATGTCTTCTTATTAGTGGAAAATAGCATATTTTTATATTAACACAATGGTGATTTTCCATTTTACTTTAACAGCTTCGTCAGGATTTTCATCATTCTGCAGTTTGATTAAACAGCCACGCATTATCGGAAATATTTGCTCCCTTTTCAGTCGATTGGTTTTCAAGTGGTCGTATACCTAATTATTCAGAATTTCCATTAAATCATCGAACCACTGGTGATGATTAAAACGTTTAAAAACACCGAGGATTTCACTTTAGAAATTTTAATTAATAAAATTTTAATTTGTTAACTGGCCAGGGGTATGAGAGGGAATATTACTTTATAAGCATACTGTATTTTCTCATCCATGCTGCCGCGTAATGTCACTGAAAGGCCCTCGATCCATTGATCAACGTGCACCTGTAATTATACGCTGTAACTACTATACATTAGTTAGCACTTTCTCGTCGCACATTCCATTACCTGCAACGCGTTCTTTTTATCGAATACCCCGAACACCCTGTCGATTAACAGGTGTCGTATATTTTCTGTAAAGTCGAGACCCGATTGGAAAATGTCCCGAAACACTGATCTGCTCATAGGACCCAACGTTTGCACGCATTTACGGTGAATTATTGCCAGCGCTGCCACAAAATAAATTAATATAATAGATATCAAAGAATTAAACGAATAATTATAATCGATGAACCTATAACCTTCAACTTCTCTGACATTAAAGTGCGTCTGACGTGCCAATCTCTTGAACTTGTCCAAATTTCTCGTCCTGAACACAATTTCCTTAAGGGTGTCATTTAATGCGTCGACTGGTTGCTCGGCAGGCATCTCTCAAAAATTATTAATTACTGTTACTTGAAAATTTTGTACAAAATAGATTTCTTTCCAAAACTCATGATGTGCCCATTTTCTAACAGCAGCTGTCATCTGTTTCACTTTTGGATTTCGTGGATGCTCACATTCAATCTAACCTACCTCCCAGCGATCAGTGACATTAAAATTGATCTATTTTACATTTGTACCATAAAATTAATGAAATATAAATATTAACCCGAGAACTGTCACAGAAATAGAGCTCCCTAGAAACGGAGCACAACGGCCCATTAGCTCAGCTGGTTAGAGCGTCGTGCTAATAACGCGAAGGTCGCGGGTTCGATCCCCCCATGGGCCATATTTATTTTTTTAATTTTAGATTTTTTATTTAATAACAAATACGGGAAATTTAAATATTAAGAGGATATAACATCGGCCCATTAGCTCAGTTGGTTAGAGCGTCGTGCTAATAACGCG